TTTTGATATTTTTGGAATAAATAAACTTGGATTTAGTTCTGTTGGGTACATAAGTGTTGTTAAATGAACAAAATATAGGGTACATCAAATATCAATAGATAAAGAAGACAGCAGTGCCAACACTCTCTCATTTCGTTTTTTTTGATGATAGTTTTAGTATTTTTACATCGAAAGGAAAACCACTTCCAATTATTTTTGAAGGTGAATATTCGAATGCACATGATAATCAGAGAAGTTTTACTAGTACAATTTATAAAGGAGATGGACAAAAAATAAATGAAGAAGGAATAGAGCTTGTTACTGAAATAACAGTAAAAGGATTTCCACCAAGATTAAAGGAGGTGAATTTAAAAAGTTATAAACGGAAGTGGTCTTTTGAAGTTGAAGTATTTAAAAAAAGATACAGGAAAGTGTCTTGAAAAAAATGAAAGCGTTTGTGAATTTAAGATTTGGTGAAGGTGTATTCAGGAAGATTCAACAACATCTTGAACTTTATATTAAAAATTCTAATTGAATTAAATTTAATAATTAGTTTTTTTGTATCAATAACAGTTCTTAGTAAGTTATTCAGTAAACTAAATGATTAGAACAATAAATGATTTAATAAAATAATCAACTAGTTAACATAACTTATTGGAAAGTTTCGATTTATTAGGAAGTTTTATTCTTGTATTAAATTAAGTCAATATACATTTTGCTAAATACTAAAGAAAAACATGAAATGAACAATGCCATTAAATTAGTAAAAAGTTACTATGAAAAGGAATAAACCAATTTTATTTGTCAACACTAAATATTACTAAAAAGAAAATATATGCATCAAGTTAGAATGTTCCAAAAATAAAAAACTAGATTATAAATTTACAAACAAATTTAGAATTTTAAATTCTTCTTTAAGAAATAACATACTTTTACAATTACAAACTCCTTACTTCCTATTAAAAAAAAATGATTTAATTTAAATACTTTTAATGGTTGTTGTTGTTAGTTGATTCTGGTTCTTCATTTATATCATCAACAGTATGCATTCCCATCAATCCAATACATTCAATAATTAAGCCATTCAATTGATCTCTAACAGATACCATTTGTTGAACAAATTCTTCTTTATTCTTTGCAAATACATCATCTGGATCAGCTTGGAACCATTGGCTTGTACTTTCTATTTCTTCTCCAAGAGTACTTGGTTGTTGAGAAAGAACAGGAACATCAATTGGTGTAAATGGTTTCTTTTCATAAGGTTGAACATCATCTTCATCAAATGGTTTAAAGTGTTTCATTTGTTTTGTTGTTATATCACCTTTTTCGTTTTCTAATTTTTCTTCTTCATTTTCTAAATCTTCATCTTCTGATTCAATATATTCTTCTTCACTTGTTTCTTTATCAGGAACTTCAACTATCTTATTCATTAATTCTTCAACAGTTCCATTCTTAACAGACTCATAAAATTTCTCTTCATTAACAGATTCATTATATTTTTCAACATTTTCTACATTAACAAATAATCCTGTGCCATCTAATTTGTTATTGTATTCATTTTCCCATCGTTCTTTATATCCCATAATTCTTGATATACTAATAGGAATATTTATATAGTCATATTTAGCTTTGTACCATTGTTCTTTTAAAGTTAATTCCCTTCCAATACTATTTTTTAATTCTTGGACTCTTTTCACACTTTCTTCGTAATCTTTTTGTGTTTGTTGGTCGTGTTCGTCTCTAGTAATTCCTGCTCGTTCTCTTAATTTCTTCCATAAATCAATAGTCTCTTGTAAAAGCTCATCTTTTTTTTGTTTTTCATTATTACATTGAGTAGTTAATAGTTCAATATCTCCTTTATATTGTTCTGTATCTTCTTCACCATTTTGGATTCTCTCTTCTGCTTTTTTTCTTTCATTTTGAATTTTATTTTCTTCTTCATCAATTCTTTTTTCAATCCTATTCTTAAGAATTTCTTCTTGATGTTTATCTCTCCATTTTTCAGCGTTGGTTAATTCTTTTTCATATTCTTCCATAACTTTTTCTTTTCTAATAATTTCATTTTTCATTATCTCAAGTCTTTCATATTCACTTCTTAATTCTCCAAGTTTCATATCTTGAATACTCTTCTTTTGGTCTTGTCTATATAATGTGAACCTTTCTTTCTTTTTATTTTGAAGTTGACTAACGTTATGAACTTCATTCTCATCAGCAGCATTATCCACTAACTCTCTTTCTCTTTTCTTTATTGAACTTAATTTTTCATCATACTTATCTAACATATTTTCAACTTCTCTTCTTTTCTCTTCAACCTGCCTCTTAATATCGTCACATGCTTCTTCTTGAATATTACTAACACTTCGTCTTCCACTTGAAATAGCTTTCTTTCTTTCATATGCCCGTTCTTGCATTTTGACACTTTCTCTTTTTTCAATAATACCTTCTCTACTTTTTCTAATCTCATTCATCTCATTTACTAGGTAGTGATAATCAGCATTTTTAATAACCAACTCAATACTTTTCTTCCATTCTTCACTCTTACTTTTACCTTCAAGTATAGATGCCATTAATCTTTCTTTACCATATAAGAAATTATGTCGAATACAAGACCTAGAATATTCTTGAACTAGTGAATTTTGATATTCATGAAGTTGACTAAAATCCCATGTTTCTACAATACTAATGTCAGTTCTAATAAGTGTTTGATTATCAATTTCTTTCTGAATATATTGACCATTACTTTCTAACTCTTTCTCCATTTGAGAAATGTCTTTTTCTAATTCTTCATCTTCAGAAGTTTTTTTATCTTCTTTGATTCCATTACGTATTCTAATTTCTTTTTGTTCTTGTGCAATTTTATTTTGAATCATTTGATTTGAGACTAAACTAGCTTCTAAAGCAGCTTTAATTTCTTTAACATCTTTAAGTAAATTTCTTCTCTTGGCTTCATCAACTGTGATGTTTGGATCATACCCTTCAAGTTCTTTTATTTCTTCTTCATCAGGAATATAACTTCTTCTGTCTTGAGGAATATTTAGTGGTGGAGTAGAAATTAATGGTGTTTCAAATGATTCTTGTCTTTCTAATGTAGTGAACTGAATACAAAATTCTTTAATTTTTTGAATATCCTGTTTTAAATCATAAAATGTTTCACAACTATTATTAAGTTGATTGAAAGAAGTAGTAGATTTATCGTTACCTTCAATAATATTTCTAATTTCAATAATATCAAATTTATATTGATTCATTTGTTTAATAACATTGTTATATTTTTCTTTTAATATTTGATATTCTTTTTGATTTAGCTCAATGCTTGTACTTTGTATTTCTTGAGAAATAGTATTTTTATAAAGTTTATCAAATGCTTTTCTTAATTTGATGTTGTGCTCAATAGATCTATTAAATGGAAATTCACCTGAAAGTTTTGAGTATAACCTAGACTTTAACTGTTCTAAATTATCTTCATAACTTTCACTTTCTAATTTTTTACAAGAATTGTTAATAAGTTCTGTTAATACTGCCATTCCATTTGTTTGGTAAAAACTAATAATATCTGATATTATTTGGATTCCATTTTCATTCTGTTGTTTCACAAGTCCTAACAAAAGCCCACCTATTTCAACAACTATTTTTGCACATCAGCCTCTTCATTGATTTTATGAAGAAACCTTTCCTTCGTTATTTCACTACTCATAATCTTAAAAGTCCAGATAGAGAGACTATCTTTTTTCT